CAGTTGATTTTACACAGTTTTTTTGCGCTAAGTTCCTTTCATTTGCAGATTTTGTAGCAACGGGCAACCTCTGACAGTTAAAAAATGGCCAGGCTTTGTTGCTGCCAGTTTACTGGCAGGCTGCAAGTAACTGAGCAAAAAGAATAAATGCTTGGTCCTAAGTCGCGGTTGTTCGGTAGTTGTTGAAATGTTGATCTTGTCCTAAAATTCGTTAATCAAAGAGAATGGTTTATTGAACATTTTTTCTACTTTATAAGATATAGAATGAAAATACGTTGGTGTTACACGATGTTGCGGTCGAACTGTATTTGAGCGAAACTTGAGGCATCATTTTGTCTTTTGATAGGTGTGCCATATCTTTTAGTAGAGTTCTGTAAAACACTATCTTTAGGCCGGTTAGTGTTAAATTGGTGGCTCCCCCAAGTCTCTGATCTCACTCAATTTTCTTTTTTTTTACAATAGCTAAGTGACTTTGCTGCGTGATTTTTACACTTGCTAAACGTAATCAGTTGAATTTAGAGATCTATTATTCTCACGAAGGATGGATTTGCAAAACGAAGAGATCAGTGCACGTCGTCCGAGAGGCCGTGGCCGAGGAGCTCGAGGGAGAATGCCACTGACGGACGAAAGAAATTCATCTTCAGCTACCTTTGGAGGTTCATTTATAGGAAGTTTGCTCTTCACGTCCGCTGTACTTGACTGGTGCTTCTTCTTGTAGCCGAATCTACTACACGTAGATTTGGAAACTTGCTTCCGAGATTTCATCTGATACAATTATATTAGACCGTTTGTTCTCAGTAGGTTTTTTTTTAAGGAAATGCTATGTCAAATTTGTCCGATACTTCGCACTCGCAGTGTTCAGTACAGCCAACCAAAGCAGGGCCATTTTTATGTCAGCACGATGAAGCGTCGTCTCAGACCTCTGATTCGCAGTCTCAAGCTTCCGGTGAAAATGAATCCATGAAGTCGGGTAATACTAACGGAAGTTTTGCTTCAATAAACAGTGGATCAGCGACAAAAAAAGAAAAGATTGCGAAAGCGCAGAGAACGGTTTGCCAAACGGCTATGCATTTCGGCTCATTCGCGAGACGGACAGATAGTTCTGGAAGTTCTGTTTCTTCTTTGGAAAACAATTGTTTTCGACCTCATGCTCCTCGAAGTACTGGCGTGGACAATCGAGAAAAAAAACTTGGGTTGCTATCAAGGACTGGTCGCTCATTTCAGTTTAACAACGCCCCTCGGTTTGTCAACTAGTAAAGCATTATTGAACTGTACCCCTTTTATCACTATGAATTTATGCTTTTTATTAATTTTTAATTTTTTTTTTACTTGATTTTTGCTTCCAGCTCTACCCCTATCCTATCTTTTTTTTTCTTGATATTTGGTCTTTAAGTTCGAGAGGAACGGGCCGAGAAACACAGATAATTAAAGTCTTTCCCCATTTTGCCAACAAAGAACAGATGAAAAGTTTATCTGCTCACCTCAGGTGACGTATTTTTTACAGTGAGGTCATGCGTGGACCTAGATCTTGTGTTATGGCCAGAAAGTTATCACCAGCTTCCCAGAAAGAAACTGTGTTGGTCACCACCAATATATTCCCCCTTGAAGTAGAAAGCCGTGTGGTTTATCGATATGATGTTCGGATGGTGTCGAGTAGGCGTGATACTTCGAAAGAAAGGACTCGTGACTTGTGCAAAGGCGACAGAGATGAGTATGATTTTTCCAGAATTACGTAATTTATTAATGACATAGGTTAGTGCATTGATGGACGGATTGCCTCAAATGTTAAAGTTTAAGGGCTTGTTTCCAACTTTGACCGGTAATGTTTAGCTCTGAATCTACAATGCGACACCACAAATGTATGCTTCTTCTGAGACGTGCTCTGGAAATTTATCGTCTGTTAAATGAAAGTGGAGCGTACTTATATGACTTATCAAGTTCTCTGTTCACCAACGAACCTTTGAATAAAGATCAAGTAGCGTTTTTGCCTTTTTTTTTTTCTTGAATTAGCTATTCAGTCACGCTCTCAGCACTCTTGCTGGTTTTAGTTACCAAGGTTGACCATAAGTTATGAGCAAATGACGAGCGAACTGCAAGGTTTGATGGGTGAAGTAGACGTTCGAATTGAAATCACCCCTTGTGCTGAAAATGCTCATACGTTCAATATTGCTGACTATCGCTCTTCGATTACGAATGATTTGAATTGTCAAGATCATTCTCTTCGACAGTTTTTTGAGATTTTAACTAATAGCAGCGCACTTCAGAAGTAAGTTTCTTTTGACACTGTGAGCGTTTTTGTTGTTTGACTATTTTATAAAATCATTCACTAGTTTTCTAGAGGTACGCATTACGCATTCGGTAGTGGTAAGCTCTTTATGTTGAATGGGGATGAATTTGGCTTACCTGACAAACCTCTAAATGAATGTCGGACTTTGATGACTGGAGCTGACAAGGGCATCAGGTTTATTGATGGAGACGGTTCCGGCATTGTTCCAGCTCTAGTTCTTGATAGTGAGTAAATTCTAGGGTCTTTGTTGTTTATTTATTCGTCATATTAACAGTACTGGACCATATCTCCGAATTTGTTAGTCGTTTATGCCATGCGGTTTTTTGAGTTATAAATTCTCTCATTTTAGGCAAGAAGTCGGCATTTTTTGATGCGCTTTCTCTTCCTGAAGTAGTCAGAGGTATTTTAATGAAAAATGCGGATCCAGATACGCCATTTCCGAAGTTAGATGAAAGGCTTTTTCGCGAGTTCAACCGTAAAATTGGCGACATAATTCGAGGTTGCTTTCGAAGGATGCTGAGCTTACTGTTTGCGTCATTATCGGTTGATTTCTCTCTTGCGGAAAAGATTCAGTTTTTCCGATTTGTCTTAAACCAAAAAGTAAACTTTCATAACACCTGAGGGCGATATTCTCTCAAAGCAGCGAAGTCTTTTCCAGAAGGAGAAAGTCCAGGTTGGGGGTTTTAGTTTAGAGTCAAGACGAACTTTAACCACTTGTTCAAATTTAAGATTTGCGGCTTGAGCACATTGACAATGCTAAACAATCTTTTGTTGCTTCCGGTTTATCAGACAAGCCAGTCAGTCAAATAACGTAAGTTTTACGGGACGCAGGCTCTTTGTTTTTTCAAAATGTAATTTTGCTATAAAAGTTATTGCAAAAGTCCAATTGGTGCTAATTAGAGAAAATTCTCTTACTTTTCTGGTATTTTCATGTTAGGATGAAATTTCCAAAAAGGCGTGATGGTATTGGTATGGTGGAATTTTACAGGAAGCAGGGTGTGCGTCTCAGGTTTGTTCTTTGACATTAGTATTCTCAGTGTTTTATTATTTGTCATGGAATGTCCTCGTTTTAAGGCCTGACTTGCCGGCCGTCCGTCTCACTTCTCCTTTCGGGACCACGTATTTTCCAATTGAAGTTTTGCGTGTTGCTCCTCGTCAGCGTGTTCCTATCAGCAAGCAGACGGCGTGGCAGATGAAAGATGCAATTAAGGTTGGTCAGTCAGAAAGAAAGTTGTGTGAGGATGTACTCAGTAGGCTTATAATTTAAGGAGTGCGCTGTTTCTCCATCAGTTCGTTTTATGGAGATCTCGAGAAATTTGGCGGCATTAGATCTTAACCAAGGTGCACGTTATAACCCGTTTATGGCAGCATTTGGAGTGCGTATAAGTTGTAAACCGATGAAGGTTTGTTTCAGACTTCTCATAATACTTATAATATGACCTATTACCGTTGTGCCTTTTAAGGTAGAAGGGCATAGGCGTAGTGCTCCAAAAGTTCAGTATTCGTCTGGCCGTCGCGGAAATGGTTTGACCGAAGTTGACAATAAAAACGTACCAGATTGTTTTTTTTTTATTTCAGTAACCGGTTCTAAAGTTGGAGTTGTCTTGTCGTTAACTGTTTTTGATTTAAGTGAGGAATCGTAAATTAATTTTTTTTAAGGCGAATTGGCGTATGCTAAATAAAGAGTATTTGGTTGGAGCAGAGCTGGGATATTGGTTTATGCTGTATGATGACGAGCGTGACAAAGCGTCTGTTACGTGAGTTCATCAAAAGTTTTTGGTTGCCATGGTTCTAAGTCGTTGAGTGTTTTTTTTATAGGGCTTTCAAGGACGTTCTTGTTCGGGAGTGTCGTAGGAAGGGAATGAGGGTTTCTGAGCCAGACTTAAGGAATGTGCCATTCGATGAAATAGAGGGCTTTTTTGAAAACCTTCGGAAGAAGTCTCCTAAAGGGCAAATCTTCTTAATGTACATGGATGCGCGTGATGATACTCATGGTTGATTTCGAATTTTCTTGACTGTGTTGTACCCAACATATTTTTTCTAAATTTACTATATTTTTACACAATGTGGTGGTTGGTTGCAGATGATTTGAAACTAATGGAAGCGCTATATCGAGTTATCACCCAGCATGTACACATGATACGTGTTAAGGAAGCCCCAAAGAAATCTGCAACATTGGAGAACATAGTAAACAAGTTGAACTGTAAAAATTTTGGTCAATGCTATGGCATTGTTCCTGAGTCTTTTGGGTAATAATATAAGTCATTTTCGCTGATTGAGATGATTTTTTAGAATTTTTTTCCATAGTTTAATGTCTATTAAACCCTTGTTTCTTGGAAATCGCCCGTTTCATTCATGTAGATTTTTTCAGAACCAATAAATGGATATCCACCGGAAAAACTCTGATTATTGGCTATGATGTTTGCCATCCGGAGCCGCAACCAAAACATGAACGCCGCTTGAAAATGGCCCAAACCCAGCCTAGTGTTTTGGGAATTAGTTTCAATGGAGCGTTTTGCCCTGAGACTTTTATTGGGGATTATGCATTCCAGCAACCGCGTCAGGAACAAGCTACCGGTTCGATTCTTGAGGAACGTATATTTTGGATTCTCAGTTTGTTCCAGAAGAATCGAGGGACGCTCCCTGATATGGTTATCATAACTCGAGATGGAGTTTCGGAAGGACAATACAAGATGGTAAAAACAAATATGTCTTTAGTTGCACGGGCGTGGGGTATAATTTTCCGTGTTCGTTACCTAAAAGGTGGTAGCTTGGGGATCATAGTTCTAGTTTCCTGAGGCGCAGTATTAAAACATATGGTGCCCTGTTTTTTGTTGACTACCTTAGAAGTACGGATTGGTACGAAAGTTTATGCTTTTTTTATTTAGGTTATGGAAGATGAAGTGGAAGCCATCCGTACAGGTATTCGGAATTATGCGGAGCATGTCGGAGTGCCTGACTTCAATCCTCCTATTGTGTGCATTATTGCTTGTAAGCGCCATAACAAACGATTTGCAATAGATACAGGTAGGAATCGGTTTTTTGTGATTGTTTTACTGTAAATCAGATCTTGTTACTCTTCACAGCGCAATTGCTTTAAGTTTTAGGCCGCGGGTATGATAACTGTTTACCCATGACCGTTATTGATAAGGACGTTACTAGACCAGATATGACGGAATTTTTTATGCAGGCTCACAAAATTATCAAGGTTGTTTTTATCTAATGAAAGCAGTTTTCATTTATTTGCGCGATTTGATGTGAAGTTTGTGGACTTTCAGGGGACAGGGAAGCTGCCTGCCTATTCAATGCCAGTAAATGAGGCGGGCTTAAGTATGGATGAAGTGCAGTCACTAATGTTAGCTCTATGTTTCACGCATCAGATAGTCAACCAAGCGATTTCGATTCCAGAGCCCATCTATCAAGCAGACGAGTGGGCTAAGAGAGGGCGCAATAACTTTAAGGCGATGTTGTTAGTTTCCCTATTCCTAAAAATGTTAACTGTGAATATCGAACCGAGATGGGTTCTTTTTCTGAGTCTGAATTGTGGTTCAGGTGCAGCAGTCGTGCTAGTATCATAAAATTTAAATATTCTGATGTCTCTTCTAACTAAGTCGAGACAGTCATGGTTGTGCATATTAACTTCCAACTGGTTACGATCAGGAATCTGCAAACGATCAATTTTAAAAATTAAGGTTTTTCAGAAAACGAGTTGGTGGTAGGGACCACCTTCCAATGTTGTCAAAAGAAGAGGTCGACTGGCGAAAAGTGACTACGAGGTTATGCTACATGAACAGTGAGCTTCAGTTAACACGAGCGAATGCGTGAGAGTTGAATTCCTTCTGAGCGGGATCTCTTCGTTTTGTTTTTGCGCGCTTTCCTAGAAATTTTGTGTTTTTACCACTATTGATGTATAGGTGTTATGCTTTACGGGAAGGCAGAATTCCCGTGTTGTTGAATTTGCAAGTACATATTATTCTTTCCAAGTCCTCATTTGGCCTTCCACTGAATCACTTAAATCACTTCTGAGTGTGTCCCGGTACTCTTTGTGTTTCACGTGTTAGTTTTTGTAGTAGAATCTTGCACTGAGAAGTTTGCCTTGTGTTTTCCCGGAATCTAGCTCTAGTTTCTTTGATCTTTTACCCCGAGAATATTTCTTTAAAATTAGGAAATGACACCTATAGAGACTGAACATCTTTTCCGCGCCTTCTTGTTTCCCGTTTCAATGGGTTTTTTGTCCAGAACTGGTTACTGGATGTTGCCGGAATAAAACCTTGTATTTTGAGAAGTCTTGCGCAAGTCGAGATCTTGCTCGATTTGGTTCAATCCCTTGAGAGTGCTCTTATTTAAAGATGTATAGTCATGTAAATGCTATAAGTTGTATTTTCGTAGCGAGGTTCGGACCATGCCAATTTTCTGCTTTGATGGTAGTGTTTGCCGACCAAAGGACTGATGTGCCCTGTTTACTACTGGTGATATATTTATTCGAGGCACTCATCCGTAATGATTTAGTTCGGAGTCTTTGTGTTTTTCGTTTAGCCTTCTCCTGACGCGTCTTGCTCGCAAAGTGAGGGGATCAGCAGGGAAGTTGAGTAGATGTAATGGTTATAAAGCATTCCTTGTGACGTTTGTTTTTGATGCCTTGTGAACGTATTGAAAGCACAGCGAGGACTAAACTTTTCATCAGTTTTTAAGTGCGTCGAAAGTATTCAGCGTATTACTATAACAGGTTTATTGAGACCCAGGATTGTTGACTATGCTCAGCTGCTAGGAGTTTGTTGTTAACTATCCTGTTTGTTTGTTTCCGACGGTAGCCAGCGTCTTGCAAACGTAGCGAGGCGATGTGTGTTTGTTTAAAGTCCTAAATAAGTTTGTGTAGAAGGTGCAGAGAATACTTGGAAGAAGCTGGCGATTGATTATGTTGGGCGCATGAGTGTGTGCTTGATTAATGGTTATAGTCGTCTAAGAAAAGTGGGGGACGGAAGTTACTTGATCAGATGACTGTGATGAATCATTGCCACATCATTTAGTATTTGGAACGCTGCGACTGAATGGGACTTGATTTACTGCTTACAGAGTGTTAATATGGAATTTCACCAACAAAGAGCAGGTGTTTGTCATCTTACAGGTGTGTTAATTTCGCTAAGAACGCAGTCAAGTCCTAGCAAGTTATGTTCAATTGTTGTACATTTCATACAGTGTCATGTTATCTGTAAGTTCCTCACTTGGCTTACGCAAAAAGTGCTCAAACTTTTGTACGCGTTTCATATTAATAAAAGGTATCTTTATATCTTGTACTTTTACTACACAATTATTTTTATGCACAGCTAAAAACAAACAATCACTTATCAGTCAGTAATACCTTTCTACAAGTGGAACACCAGTTCTACTGGACATCAAAACTACTAGGAAATTACGTCGCTTAATTTAGTTTGTTTAGAACTTGACGGACTTCGAAATGCTCAGGGTCTTTGAAAGGTAGGGCCGTCGCTTATCAATGGTTCTTTCACCGCTTTGCGGGATATATTTTTACATATTAACAAGTACCGATAAGGAATTACCAGTTGATAAGACAAAAGGATAAAAGTGGTATAAACTTCAAAAATGCTTTGAAGAATTACGAGGGCGTAACAAATAACCGACCAAGTAGAGATATTTTTTCTTATAATCAAAAAAAAACATCATTTTTCTTAGAAATGACTTTCTACAAATTGAATATTCGATGGAACTACAAAAAGTAAGTGGAAATCAGTACTGCAACATTAATATTTGCTGAAACTAACACACCATGGAAACTACAATCTCAACATCAACGATACCAACTGCAAGATTTCTTGCTCTCTAGTTTTTGCTATCCATTTTGCTGAACTATGGTTTCCTTCTACCACATTTTGTGACGTTAGTTTCTAAAATTTACTGTGCAAAAACTGACACTGGCAACTTTCACACACTCCAAACACTGTTGCATAGAGCACGTAAAGAACACGGATAGAACTGCCATCCCCAACAAAATAAAAAAATTAAAAAGAAAACAAACTTTTGCGAAGTGGATATTCTAGGAGAACTCATTGGCAACTAGATACTGGTTAAAATAATTCATTTAGATAAGCAAACTTTCTACAAAAAGCCTACATCATAATATTCATGGTGTCCAAATATTAATACTTTATATGCATTCATTTGTCTAGTTATTCTACTCACGGATAACTTGACAGGTACCTAGAAAGCTACGTCGACCAATGACTTAATGATGTTCCCGCCATGCCTAATCCAGTATTTCTTAATGAAATGAATGACGCTAACAAAAGTCCCCAAGAATGAGTGTTTTTTTTTTTTCTTATCTGTTCTTACTATAAGCCACTTCCCTCTAAAAAAGCTGTTTCACTAAGTTTTTTGCAGCATATGCTGTTAATAGATGAAATATCCTAATGTGTATTTAGCATTTTTAAATTACGACTTAGTTAAATCTACACAAGCATCACTTGTTCACTTCAAACCTTCTCTATAGTATTCCAAAAAACAGTTATAATGAAAAAAATATCCAATTAATACTACCAAATCTGTAAAAAAAAAAGTGGATTCAGAAAAAACAAAATATTTCTCTCAAATTATTTAAAAGTTCCCTCCAGGAATTACACCAATATTGTTGCAACTGTTTCTCAACATTTTCCCTCACAAAATCTGTCGGCAAATAACACTTCTAATCCTGCGTCAATTAACCAAATGGCTAAAGCAATAGTATAAGAACTGTCATTACAGCGAACCTTTCTTCTCTTGAAAAATCAAATCATAAAACGCGGAAGGACAAGGCTTCTGAATAAATGCCAGTAGGTTCTTTTCGTTTGGGTCTTGGCGTACTACTAACGCCCTGATCGGCGTTCAGTTTTGGCCTTACAAGAGACTGATAAAAATTTTGCGCCATCAACAAACTGAGTTACACTACCAAAAAAACGCCTGAAAAGTAGTAGAAATTGTACTCCAGGAGACTTGAAGCAGACGTAGCCGGTGATGTCGAGCGGGTAAATCGGGAGGAAGGACAAGTGAAAAGTACGGTAGTTAATGAAATTCTTTCGCGAATATTCTCAAACGAACTCGCATCAGTTTCGAACGTTGTAGCAGTGTTGCTAACGCTATCGTGTCGTGCGCTGGTCGGTATCTGCTATGAGTCGTTGTGTGGAAGATTCGGGGCTTTTCCAGGGGTGTTGCTCGGAGTTGACGGCTCTAAACTTCCAGTGTTGATATTGCATGTATAGCTGAGCTCTCGCTTGCCATTTTTCCTTAGTGTTTGCTTGGTATAATTTAAAAATTGCTGGTAATAGTCAGGCAATTAGCCGGAAATGACAATTTGAGTATGCATTGGCTAAGTGGGATTAGATATTGCGTTATTTCCTCGTCGTTTCTTTCTTTTTGAGCATTTTGATTTGTGTCGAGTAAACTGGTAGATGACTGTAGTAAGGCCAGCTCAGAATTGCAGCAGTTGCGCCTTAAAACGTTTTGGACTGTAAAGTGGCCTTTCAAAAAGGGAGGATGGCGCATTGATTTATTTAGTATGCCAAAGAGTTCGTCAGAGTTTCCTCATTATCCTTGAACTGCCTTTTCACTTGCGTTAGGATGGGAATTTGCGCATTTTGGTTTTTTTTGGCGCTTTTTTTCTTCTTTGTACTGTTTTTCTTTCCACTTTTTTTAGTGTCGGTCAACTCCAGTATGTTTCTGATATTTTCATTTGCTAATTAACAGTGATAGCACTTTTTTTTTTTTTGTGAATTTGTCAGGTCGGTCTGAAAATTACTGCTGTGAAGCGTTTTTTTTTTTTTT